TTTAATCTGTGTTTAATTTTTAATGGAAAAAAAGCACTACCCATGATAACATGGTTATAAATAACAAGAAAACAGGCCTCGGTGGCGTCACTTGTATGGAAAAGCCTTGTTGTAGTTTTCTATGCTGAACTGAGGAAGTGTTTCTTTGCTTATCAAATCAATTTGGACTCTAAGTGCTGAGAAGAAATCTTTTGCTCCAAGCTGTGAGAATCTGAAAACTTTCCAACTGAGTAAACAAATCATTTTGTGTTTCTTACAGGTTCAAGTGGTTTCTGTGTGATTCCTCCCAGTCTAAAGTTTAAAGCCGGGGTAGACTGAAGATGTTTGGGAACAGTGCCCCCTTCTCCTATTTCCCAAAGTTGGTCGATTTAATTTTCCTTTTCAAGTTCACTAGTTATGTTTAATAAGACGCTGATTTGCAGTGTTTCTGATACATACCCGTTCACACCCTTACATAATAAAACAGCTCAGTGCCATAGTAACCCTGAAGCTTACTTGAGCTGTGGACTGCGGATAGCTTATCTTCATATCGCTGAGCTTTGACTGAGACGATTTTATGGAGGTGGAAGGAAACTGAATGTTAAGGAATCTTTTCTTCTTCTTCAGGGGCTTCACATCGGAGGACCTCCCTCCGAGGCGGGCTTTCCAACAAGATGAAACTAGGGAGAGTCCGCTGAGGAGAAGTGACTCAACCAGACCCAGTGGAAGATCTATTTACAGTATGTGCAGGCATTACAACACCTCATATCTAGGTATACATATTTTATGATGATATTGCACAAAATCGAATGTTCTTTACATCAGTGCAGAGAAAGGAGTACTCAGAGACACTGAGCAAAAATCCTGACAACATCAATGTCAGAGTGGAGGTAAATGAGTATAAACTCTACATCATCATGGACATACACATTACTAACAGCACAACATTTAGCTCTCATCATCACTGACCCTCCTAATTGAACCCACAGCATCTTTTCATCTGTGAGATTGATGGCCTGGAGGTGAAGACCGTGGACGACTGCGTGGCTAAGCTTAAGAACCTGAATGCCAAAGGTCGTCTGTGGCCTCAGGAGATGATCATGGAGGTTCAGGGACCATATCTTCTGCTCAATGACATTGAGACCAAAGTAGGTTCATCACTTCTAGAAGAACAATGAAATGTCTGGAAGGGACATTATAGTACAATTGTTGGACAGATGTTTGAGTCAGCACACCACCACAGTGGATTTGAAACCCTCAAAATGTGACTGAAGTGAGGACTTGCACTGATATTATTGACATATATATGTATATATTTATATATATACATATATATGGACAGGTGATTCCCTAACATGTAGAACTCATGGACATCATCAAACGCTGTGTTTCACCTTCAGCTGCTGCTTGTTTGTGGGTCTCTGCCTTCAGTTTTGTCTTCTTTAGACTGAAAAGCTGGTCGGTTGAAGTAAAGAATATTATTTATTTTCCTCTCTTGGTTTGCTTTGGGTCCATTTGCACTGTGAAGTGCTGTCCAATTAACAGTTTT